GTCCTCGGTTGCCAGTTCGTATCTGGCATCAGCAGACTCCAATCCGAGGCGGAGGAGTATCCCAGAGGTAAACTTCCTCTTCATCGTTCTGTTTTTATGAGAGTGAAGTCTACCTCATTTTCTAGTGTATCCTCTAAAGTCGGTCGTTCTGATGCACGATCTGGAGATGGCGACCTCGTCGTCCTGTTTCCCTCGTCGCTTCCCGAGTTTGCGGGACCATCGGGGAAGACGATGCTGCGCGATCGCAGCTGACGGACGTTGGTCGCACCAATCGTGTTGTCTAACGAAATTAAACGTGCGTTGGATGGCCCCGCAACGGCGTCCTCACAAATACGCCGCCTCTTCATTTGCCTTGCCTCGTCCTCTTCGCCATCGACACCCTCGACTGGGCGCTTGCCGCCTACCCGGACAGCACGACCTTGAGTAGTTGCCCTTCTAGTTTTTCTGCGGGTCCACCCATACCCGCGTCTCCTGTGAGCTTTCGGCCTGGGAGGAGGTGCGAGGGAGGCATTCGGAATGTCTGGACCTTATGTCAGCTCAATGCTGCATTTACATATGGAGATCTAACTCACCTTCACAAGAATTTTGCAGACTTTCGGTGGAAGATCCCGAGGCCTGTGGCTGGCTATCAAGGACCCCGGCTGAATAAATCTTTTAATGAGAAACTTTGACATGGAATGAAGAGGGAGACTTACCATTTCGTTTACGTTTCTTTTCGACGACATGTGCAGCTTGCGCTGTCTGTGTGTTGGAGGACGTCGATCCTGTCGAGGAGGACCGATCCTCTGTAATAATGTTGTCTGAAAGTGTGCCGTCACTGCCTGTGCTGGTGCTGAAGGCATTGGTATGGATGTTGGCGGAGCCTTCAGCCGCATTGTTATGGACGGCGGTGCCCTCTCTGGCCATTGGCTGCGGGCCGCTTCCAAATTGCGCAATATGCGAACGCCTTGAATGCGTTAACAACGTCTCATTACTGACTGTCGTTTCCATGTTTGCAGCCTGAGTGGCTGCTAGTTGCTTCCGCATTGTGCGAGTGAGTACCATTGTGCTCTGCTGTGTAAATGACGCGCTGAGGGGGGGGAGGGGGAGTGGTTCCTCGGAACTCTTGTTGTGTGGGGAGTAGGGGAATTGAGCTGAGTTGGTTGACTTTGAGAGCCACGCTCTTTATATGCCTTCACGATATAGGGTCTGAGCGTCATCAAGACACATCAGTACTAGTCTAACCATCTTCGTTAACCATTTTCTTCTCAGTCTAATCATTGCCTATTTTTCAAGGGCGGATATTCCCGAGGCCACGATCGGTGAGTATTGAAGGGAATGTAGTGCAATTTTTTGACGTGCATAGTCTGGTTATATTTTTCTTTTCTTCCTCTCTTGGACTGCCTCGTGCTTTACCCTAATCCTGTAGAGAAGAATGGAAAGGAAGGGGGGTGGGGGGTGTTACAAATTGATGGATTGGATTGTCTTCAGTAGTTGTGTACTTTTTACATCCAGACCCTGAGTCCCATGACCCAAATTTGGTTAGTCTCAACTGGCCACTCACAGTTCTACTCACATTTCACTAAGTCAAAAAAATGCCCATTCTATAGTATAGATATATATTCCCCTCCCTAAGTCTAACTCACACCTAACCTAACACTCAAACCAAACAGCCCAAACTTATCCTAAACCTAATTAGAGTGGTAGAGCCCCTCCAAACCCCTCTCCTAACTTCTTACTATGTTTATAACAAGGGCCCCTATATTCTAGAATTATATAAGTAGTTAGTCAGAGTTATCCCTAATTAGACTGTAAGATTCAGAGTCTAAATGTGAAAAGTTAAGAGTTGTCTTTAGCTTGTATGACTCTTATTCTTTTATAGCTGAATTGTCTAGTCTGAACTATACTTTAGATTAGAAGATACTGTTGTAAGATTAAGACCTTAAATAATACAATTTTACTTCTCCATTTTGACTCTTTAAATAATCTAGAGTTCTAGTACTAAGAACTTGTAAAACAAGTGTTTGTTTTAGCTTTGTTTATAAATTTTTCTAGATAGATTTTATTAGTTTCACATTAAAGAGTCTGTCAATAATTACTTGTAAACAGTATAGAGGTCCCTTAATACCTTCTCTTTATCTAGGTACTCTTAACTTATAGTAAAAAAGAATAAGGAGTGTGTACACAGACTAAGTACAATACTTGAGCTATGTGTTTTGTTATTCAAATATATTCCTTTTTTAATAGAGAAAAATGAAAAACATTTAGTTTATTATGTCTTTGACTCATTCTCCTCTTTTATTACTAAGAACTTTATACTAATAAGTGAATAGTAATCAACTAGGAGAGGGAACTGGACAGGAAAGCAGGATTAGTACAACAATCAGTCATTACACTCATTCTATATTTAGAAGATCACTTTTGATAGCTCAAAAGTGTAGGAAAAGATGTTACTTCCTTATACTTTATAGTACCTAATACTTACTGTTGATTTTTACACTATAGTACAGTAAACAGTAAAGAATATAATAGATACTTTATGTATTATATATATAGCTAGAAATATTTATATAGAGAATAATTACTGAATACTACTTTAGTTAATAAGTTAAGTTAAAATTTGTTCTTGTTTCATCCCTTCCAAATAATCAAAGGAAATTATCAGGGGGCTCAAGTAGTAATACAATATAAAAGTAAGAAGAATTTGCCCCTACCTACCTCTCTGTCTGTCTGTCTTACTATAGTTATCTATAGAGTGTATGTTTCCTTACTATACTATAGAGTTGTATATTGTAAGACAGTCTCTACAAGATAGTAAGGAAACATTGAGACAGGGGACAATAAGGGAAGATATGGAGGGCTGGGAGCTCTTGACCTTCTTCTGTTAGTAGTAATAAAAGAATCCAGAATATCTTTATTACATTTGCCCTTACTCTTGTCCTTATCCTAAACACTCATTAACTCATTTGGTAGTACTATGTCCTCTATCATTCACAGAGGAACCATTATGAGGGATCTGTCACAGGACTGAACATTCACTGAATGTACACATAGTATTATTATTAGTGTTAAACTGGTCAAGAACTATATCCTTATAATATGTATTATATCTAATTATTAGCTCTAGTGTACTCTAGTAAATGTTATACAGTAATGTAAAGTCAGTTGAGAGACTTCTGAGAGAAGGTTGGAATCTGTTAGATGGATGTGTATTACTGTATCCAAGCACTGAGTCCAAACTCAGTCAAGCACAGGACCTTTACAGCTTGTCTGCCTGTAGAAGTACACTTAGTACAGTCATACATTATAATATTATTAAAAAAAATGTACTGTAGCATACTTCCTAGGTTTGCTCTTCACCTATACAACTCTACTGTTGTGTATGTTGAGTAGTATCACCTCTGAGGGAGACATAGTTCCATTTCCATCTGGAAAAATAGTTACAACATGTAAGTTCTATATGCCTTTACTGTGTCTTTTTCCCTTTCCAAATTGCATTCCTAATGTTGTATATTTCAATTCTGCAAGGACTATTAGTGTGATGCTTGAAGCAGACTTATACATTGTAATAACTATGTTATATAATTATCTGCTACTAATAACACTCTAGCACATCTGTAGAAGGGTAAGTAAGACACAAGTATTAAGAAGACCTGAGTGTACCAATTATCAAGCTCTGTCTAAAGTTT